TTTATTGAAATTAAAACCCGCATTAAAAAGGCACCACTGAAACCGAAAATACTGATAACAATACCTAATATAATAAGTTTGTTAATTAGAAATATATTTTTTTAAAGCGGTATATCTGTAATTTTAAATTGTAAAAAAAATGTAAATATGCGCATATATATGCAGAGAAATTTGGCATTATATGAAAAGAATTGCAAAAAAAGCAAGAAAAATTTTTTTTTTTACATTAATATTTTATTTCCATCATTTTTTACAACACTTATCATAGATAATACATATTTGGACTTAAATTAAAACTAACTTAGCCACTTTATTGACTTAGTTACTCTCTTGAAAAATATTATTTACATTTATTATGATATATTTTAAGATCTATATTGGTGTGGAAGAATTTACCATTTGAAACATGTTTTAAGTTCTTGTTGTGAAAAGAAGGCTGTGTATATTACGAAAAAAACGTCAAAATATAAGCCCCGCCCACCCGCCCTATTTCAATTCTGATGATTTTTTGTATTCGTCGTAAGCCGAGGGGCAGAGAATAATTATAAAATCCTTATTTTTCTACGAGAAATTATCATCTGAAATATGTTCTTAAGTAATCGTATTGTTCAAAGAAAACTATCTATATTAAGAGAAAAACAAAGCTAAAGATTTGGATCCGTTCCACCCATACCCGCCCCGATCTCAATTCTCAATTGTGGTGAATTTTTCATTCGTTGTCAGTTTGAGGGGCGGGGTTTAATTCCAAAATCCGGATTTATCTACAAATATTAACAATTTTGAACATGTTTCTCCGGCTGCGGCTCGAAAACCAACAAGTCGTGTCTTACTTGGATGATAAATATTTTTTGAATTTTTTTCGTGAATTGAGAAAGACCACTGAAACATAACTAATACTCAGCGCCCTCAAAGGAGTGACCTGACGCAGCTCAGGTCATGTTAGATCAGATCCTAGAGCAATTTTTTAATTGTACACTGTTTCGAGTTTTCAATTTTAACTTTTTTAAAATTTTGATTTATTCAGTCTTTTAATTTCCAATTTTTCGATTTTACAGTTAGCTCGATTTGTCAATTTCTAGATCGTTTAGTCAGTTTTTGGATTTTCCAGTTACTCGATTTTTAATATTTCGATTTTCAAATTTTCCATTTGTGATTTTTTGTTACTTCAATTTTTCGACTTTACAGTTTTCCGATTTTAGGTTTTCTAGTCTTTAATCTTTAATTTTCCTATTCTACATTTTTTGGAATTTTTTATTTTCCGATTTTGTAATTTTTCGGTCTTTCAGATTTTTGATTTGCAATTTTTCGATATTTCAATTTCGCACTTCCTCATTTTTTTAAAACATATTTCACATACTAATTTCTTGTAGAAAAATATGAACTCTGCATTTAAGCTCCGCCCTCCGTCTCACAACGAATAAAAAAATTAATCAGAATTGACATGGGACGGGTGGGTTGGGCTTATCCTTTGATTTTTTTTTTTTCGTAATATACTATAGTCTTCTTTCAACAGTAAAATACTTAAAATATCAAAGAGTGAAATTGAAATTAGAATTACGTTTTAAGTATCGTGTTTTTGAAAAAAAAAAAATTACTTACATTAAGAAAAAGATGTCAATGATTAAGCCCCACCCACCCACCCACCCTATTTCAATTCTGACGAATTTTTCATTTGATGTCAGACTGAGGGGCGGAGCTTAACTGCACAATCCATATTTTCCTACAAAATAAGTAAAGATTTTTCAATTTTGCACTTCCTGATTTTTTTTTTTAACTAATTTCATATACTAATTTCTTGTAGAAAAATATGAACTCTGCATTTAAGCTCCGCCCTCCGTCTCACAACGAATAAAAAAATAGTCGGAATTGAGTTGGGGCGGGTGGGTGGGACTTATCCTTTGATTTTTTTTCTTCTTTCAACAGTAAAATACTTAAAATATCAAAGAGTGAATTTGGAATTAGAATTACATTTTAAGTATCGTCTTTTTGAAAAAAAAAAAACTACTTACATTAAGAAAAAGATGTCAATGATTAAGCCCCACCCGGCCACCCACCCTATTTCAATTCTGATGAATTTTTCATTTGATGTCAGACTGAGGGGCGGAGCTTAACTGCATAATCCATACTTCTCTACAAAATAGTAAACATTTTTCAATTTTGCACTTTCTCATTTTTTTTAAAACATATTTCACATACTAATTTCTTGTAGAAAAATATGAACTCTGCATTTAAGCTCCGCCCTCCGTCTCACAACGAATAAAAAAATTAATCGCAATTGAGATGGGGCGGGTGGGTGGGGCTTATCCATTGATTTTTTTTCTTCTTTCGACAGTAAAATACTTAAAATATCAAAGAGTGAATTTGAAATTAGAATTACGTTTTAGGTAAGTATCGTGTTTTTGAAAAAAAAAACTACTTACATTAAGAAAAAGATATCAAAGATTAAGCTCCACCCACCCACCCTATTTCAATTCTGACGAATTTTTCATTTGATGTCAGACTGAGGGGCGGAGCTTAACTGCACAATCCATATTTTCCTACAAAATAGTAAAGATTTTTCAATTTTGCACTTCCTCATTTTTTTTTTAACTAATTTCATATACTAATTTCTTGTAGAAAAATATGAACTCTGCATTTAAGCTCCGCCCTCCGTCTCACAACGAATAAAAAAAATAATCGGAATTGAGATGGGGCAGGTGGGTGGGGCATATTCCTTAATTTCTTTTTTTCGTAGTATACTAGTCTTCTTTCTACAGTAAAATACTTAAAATATCAAAGAGTGAATTTAAGATTAGAATTATGTTTTAAGTTTTTAAGTATCGGGTTAAAAAAAAAACTATACACATTAAGAAAAAGATGTCAATGATTAAGAATAAAAAAAATCCTCACAATTGAGTTGAGGTGGGTGTGCGGGGTCTATATTCTGTCTTTCCCTTCTTAATGTACATAGTATTCCTCGAACAACACGATTTCAACAACATGTTCTTAATTTCTTGTAAAGAAATAAGTATTTTGCAGCCAAGCTCCGCCCCCTTGGTTCACGATGAATAAAAAAAATCATCACAATTGAGGTAGGGCGGGTGGGCGGGCTTCCATTTTACTTGTTTGTTTTAATATGTGTAGACTTCTTTTCATAAGATGAAACTTAAAACATGTTTAATTACGTTCCACCCCCCGGTCTGACAACAAATGAAAAGTTCATCACGGTTGAGATCGAGACGGATGGGTGGGGCTTCTCTTTCGGTTTTCTTTTTTAATTAATAGACATTTAGTTTTCTTTGTATAACACGATTACTTAAGTTAAGAACATATTTCACATGGTAATTTCTCGAAAAAAATACGGGTTTTACAATTAAGCTCCACCCCACGGCTTACGACGAATAAAAAAAATCATGAGAATTGAGATAGGGGGGGTGGGCGGGCCTTATATTTTGCCGAATTTTCTTAATATCACAGCTATCTTTCGACAACAACAAACTTAAAACATGGTTAAAATTGATTTCCTTATACAAAGTTTCCATTTTAAGCATGTTTTTAGTTTCATGTTGTGAAAAGAAGTCTACTCGTATTGAAACAAAAAGGCATAATGTAAGCCGCCCACCTGCCCTATTTCGATTGTGATATTTTTTTTTATTTCCCGTAAACCAAGGGGGGTAGCTTAACTGCAAAATTCTTATTTCGTTACATGGATTTAAAAACATGGATTTTACAATTAGGCTCCGCCTCTAGGCTTGTCAGCGAATCAAAACTTCATTACTGTTTAGATCGGGGCAGGTATGGGTGGGGCTTAAACTTTGGCTGTAATTTTTTCTTAATGTACATAGTATTCTTTGAACAACACGATACTCAAAAACATGTTTTTAATTTCTTGTAAAGAAATAAGTATTTTGCAGATAAACTCTGTCCACTTGGTTTACGGCGAATAAAAAAAATCATCACAGTTGAGACAGGGCGGGTGGGCGGGCTTACATTTTGCCTTCTTCTTTTAATATGTGTAGACTTCTTTTAACAACATTGAACTTAAAACACGTCGATTAAATCATTTTAGAGAATAAATGCTCTGTTGAAACATAAAAGAAAATTCCGGGACTTTTAATCCTTGTTTGACTGAATTTTTTATTAGAAGGTCGTCGTTGTAATTAGTTCGGCGTCTCTACCTGTTTAAAATTCTGACAATTTGCCGTAAATCCTCTATTGTTATCTTCGTGTTAGGTACCTGGGTTGTTAGACCCTTGATTAGGTGTATTGTATGTCCTCCACGTTGCCTGTATTTATTATTATTGCTTTTTTTACATAATAGGACCAGAGAACATAGAGAAGCACCATAGTTTAAATTAAATGACGGTTGCGGACTCCTCAATTTATGTTGGTAGCAGTGTTTGTTTCTAACTAGGGATAAAAGTAACTAGAAGAAATGTCATAATATTTTTAATAACGCGTTTTATTTCCGACAAATTGACACTAAATTTACCAGAATATTACAAGCTGCTTAATGTTTCCTTGACTTTCACTCGGGTCACACGAATTACAATTATAGTGAAACAAGGTTTTTTTGGGCGTCGACTATTTAAATTTGGCGCTTGCCTTTGGCAGTTGAGGACTCCAGTGTCAATAAGGGTGGTTTTGCAAAATCAGCCTCTATGTCGCTTCTCTATGTTCTCTGATAGGACCATGAAACCTGGTTTATCGCTTTGTATGAGTTGTGTCTCGCTGAGCGTTTACATCCGATGAATGATTTTCTTCGATCGACTTAAATAACCTTGTAATTTGAAAAAAAATCCGGTTCTAGACAATTCTTTGTCAAAATTTGGGGAATGTTTTCATTTGTTTATCCCATTTTTCGTTCGCCCCCCTAAATATCGTACATCAAGTGGCCAATTATTGATTATATTTTTCCCTGGGACTCAAGTAATCATTAACCAATAATCACAACGAAGCGGCAAATTTCACGAAATTGCAAAGCCGACTTGACCTACGATCTTTGGAGATTTAAAAGACAATTATACAAGCTATAAATTTATTAAACTAAATGAGTGTCTACATAAAAAACGTGTATTTGCATTTTCAATTTGAAAGGCGATTTTCGCCAATTATTGCAACGTAAATCCTGAAAACAAATTACTAATTTCGCGCATTTTCCTACGTTGCATGAGAAAAGGATTGTATGCGAAGCATTCACAGTCGCGTATTCCATAACGGGTGTGCCATAGTTGTCCCTCAAGTACAGCAGAGTATAATTCACAATTTGGTGGTTGATACATTTTGAACATTTCTTTCATCTGGTCGCATGATAGATTTTCTTCTGCTGTACCACGACGTATGTTGAATATGATATTCCAGACACAGGTGCCTTCAAATCTTCTAATTGCCGGATTTGGGAATATAGGATTATTTGACGCTTTAATCACTATTAATGTCGGAAAGCAGGCTTGAAATATTAGTGTTACTTTGTCTCTTATTATCTCTCGGCTTTCTCGGGGAAGTTCTTGATCAAAGCATGGCACGTGGAATTCATCTAGAAAAATATACAATGCGTTTCTGATATTATTTTAAAAAATATTCACGAACCTTGATCTGTCTCCATAATTCCTTAGTCGCCCAACGTACGGCACAATATCACACACAGAACAACCAGTATACTACTAGCTACTAGTAAAGACCACTGAAAGACCGTGCCCAAAAGAATAAAGACAGAAGTCAGAGAACTGTACAAGAGGAGATTTTTCTATGGATAACGACAAGTGTGTAAACCAAAGCCAACTACGTGATGGTCAACAATGATATGGTAATGACAGTGATTAATGAATAGGGGTATTTGATTGGTTCTGCTAACCCCAATAATTCGTTGATAACTAGCGCCATCTACCGTAATTTCCTTTAACGAAACAGAGGTAAAGTTCAACTTTTTAATTAATCAAAGAAGTCGTAGTTTTTATTGAAATTAAAACCTGCATTAAAAAGGCACTAGTGAAACCGAAAATACTGATAACAATACCTAATATAATAAGTTTGTTAATTAGAAATATAATTTTTTAAAGCGGTATATCTGTAATTTTAAATTGTAAAAAACAATGTAAATATGCGCATATATATGCAGAGAAATTTGGCATTATATGAAAAAAATTGCAAAAAAAGCAAGAAAAATTATTTTTTTTTACACATTAATATTTTATTTCCACCATTTCTTACAACACTTATAGCATAGCTAATACATATTTGGACTTAAATTAAAACTAACTTAGCCACTTTATTGACTAACTAGTTACTCTCTTGAAAAATATTATTAACATTTATTATGATATATTTTAAGATCTATATTGGTGTGGAAGAATTTACCATTTGAAACATGTTTTAAGTTCTTGTTGTGAAAAGAAGGCTGTGTATATTACGAAAAAAAAAAGGCAAAATATAAGCCCCGCCCACCCGCCCTATCTCAATTCTGATGATTTTTTGTATTCGTCGTAAGCCGAGGGACAGAGATTAATTACAAAATCCTTATTTTTCTACGAGAAATTATCATCTGAAATATGTTCTTAAGTAATCGTATTGTTCAAAGAAAACTATCTATATTAAGAGAAAAACAAAGCCAAAGATTTGGTTCCGTTCCACCGATACCCGCCCCGATCTCAATTCTCAATTGTGGTGAATTTTTCATTCGTTGTCAGATAGAGGGGCGGGGTTTAATTCCAAAATCCGGATTTATCTAAAAACATTAACAATTTTGAACATGTTTCTCCGGCTGCGGCTCGAAAACCAACAAGTCGTGTCTTACTTGGATGATAAATATTTTTTGAATTTTTTTCGTGAATTGAGAAAGACCACTGAAACATACCTAATACTCAGCGCCCTCAAAGGAGTAACCTGACGCAACAGGTCATGTTAGATCAGATCCTAGAGCAATTTTTTAATTGTACAATGTTTCGAGTTTTCAATTTTAACTTTTTTAAAATTTTGATTTATTCAGTCTTTTAATTTCAAATTTTTCGATTTTACAGTTGGCTCGATTTGTCAATTTCTAGATCGTTTAGTCAGTTTTTGGATTTTCCAGTTACTCGATTTTTAATATTTCGATTTTCAAATTTTCCATTTGTGATTTTTTGTTACTTCAATTTTTCGACTTTACAGTTTTCCGATTTTAGGTTTTCTAGTCTTCAATTTTTAATTTTCCTATTCTACATTTTTTGGAATTTTTTATTTTCCGATTTTGTAATTTTTCGGTCTCCCAGATTTTTGATTTGGAATTTTTCGATATTTCAATTTCGCACTTCCTCATTTTTTTTTTAAACATATTTCACATACTAATTTCTTGTAGAAAAATATGAACTCTGCATTTAAGCTCCGCCCTCCGTCTCACAACGAATAAAAAAATTAATCACAATCGAGATGGGGCGGGTGGGTGGGGCTTATCCTTTGATTTTTTTTCTTCTGTCAACAGTAAAATACTTAAAATATCAAAGAGTGTTATTTGAAATTAGAATTACGTTTTAAGTATCGTGTTTTTGAAAAAAAAACTAGTTGCATTAAGAAAAAGATGTCAATGATTAAGCCCCACCCACCCACCCTATCTCAATTCTGATGAATTTTTCATTTGATGTCAGACTGAGGGGCGGAGCTTAACTGTACAATCCATATTTCCCTACAAAATAGTAAAGATTTTTCAATTTTGCACTTCGTCATTTTTTTTTTAAACATATTTCACATACTAATGTCTTGTCGAAAAATATGAACTCTGCATTTAAGCTTCGCCCTCCGTCTCACAGCGAATAAAAAAATTAATCAGAATTGAGATGGGGCGGGTGGGTGGGGCATATCCTTTGATTTCTTTTTTTCGTAGCATACTAGTCTTCTTTCTACAGTAAAATACTTAAAATATCGAAGAGTGAATTTGAGATTAGAATTGTTTTAAGTATCGTGTTTTAAAGAAAAAACTACACATATTACGAAAAAGATGTCAATGATTAAGAATAAAAAAAATCCTCACAATTGAGTTGAGGTGGGTGGGCGGGCTTCCATTTTCCTTGTTTGTTTTAAAATGTGTAGTCTTCTTTTCATAACATGAAACTTAAAACATGTTTAAAATGGTAAATGTGTATAGGAAAATATCGATTTTGTAATTACGTCCCGCCCCTGGGTCTGACAGCGAATGAAAAATTCATCACGATTGTGGTCGAGACGGATGGGTGGGGCTTCTCTTTTCGTTTTCTTTTTTAATTAATAAACATTTAGTTATAAAATCTTTATTTTTCTACGAGAAATTAATTAAGTAATCGTGTTATACAAGAAAAACTAAATGTATTAATTAAAAAAGAAAACCAAAAGAGAAGCCCCACCCATTCCTCAGCAAAAATTTTAAAATATGCATTTTTATGCACTTTCCATTAAAATATGCAATAAATGCAAAAAAATAGTTAAATATGGAGAACATAAATTATCGCAAACCCCCTATTCTTGTGCCGCCACTGCGCACCTGTCAACAAAATGTAAATAAATATTTTGTTATAATTTTTAGGTTATGTCATGTAGACCGCTCTTTCGAAGTTCCTAGTGTTCCGCCCCATAATTACAGTCAAATTAAACTGTAATTGCGTACTTGAAAGTGGCCGTCCCAAGAAAATTAGCACGTTGCGTAACTCAAGGTAATAATCAATCCTGCAACTCTCTGTTTACATTCCATAATGTTTATTTTAGAAAATCCCCTGTCACTAAATTAACAAAGTGCATCCTGTTGATAACCGCAGATAGCTAATCAGAAAACTGACTTTTGAAGATCATTATAAGCAAGTCAAGTCGTACTTTTGTACAAATCAATCAGATATCGCGATTGATTACTCAACCCTGATAACGTTTTTATGTGCCAGTAATTTCCATTGCATTTTTTGTGTTCAAGAAAACAGCCAAGATGAACGTCACATTTTCGCTCCTCGCCAAGAACGTGACAAAAACGACTTTCAGAAACTCGAGCTACAGGTAAATCGTTACAATTTTTCTTCAGTTTGTTGTTTAATTATTTAATATTTTGTCCAGCTGTAAAGTGCTCGTGGTGGGTGGCGGCACCGGCGGCTGCGCCACGGCCGCCAAACTCAGCCGAATTCTCAAAAAAAACGAGCTCATTATTCTCGAACCCAGCGATAAACACTACTACCAGCCCCTTTTCACCCTGGTGGGAGGGGGTATTTCCACGCTTTCGGAAGCTGGTAAAAGTATGCGGGACGTGCTTCCAGCGAACGCGGTTTGGTTGAAGGACAGCGCGGCGGAATTTAACCCTGGTGAAAATTCAGTCACAACCCAGAGAGGACACTCGATAAAATATGAATATTTGTTGATTGCCACTGGTCTTCAGACAGACTATGATAAGGTTTGTGGGTGAAAATTAAACTTGAATAATGTGTCAGTGTTTTTTTAGATTCCAGGGTTGGAAGCTGGTTTGAGTGGCGACACTGGGGTTTGTTCAAACTATTCCGCGAAATACGTTGAATTGACGTATAAAGCCTTGAAGAACTTTGAGAGTGGGAACGCCATTTTTACGTATCCGAATACGCCGGTGAAGTGCCCGGGAGCCCCACAGAAGATTTGTTACATCACTGATCACTACTTAAGAAAGGTTTTTTTTTTATTATTAATTTTGTTATCAGTAACAACTGAGTTTAATGACAAGTTCAATTTAATGTATTTACTAGGTGGGAAAACGGGACAAAGCTGCGGTTATTTACAACACGTCTCTCCCGGTCATTTTCGGTGTTAAAAAATACGCAGACGCCCTCTGGGAGATCTGTGCGGAACGTCAGATACAGGTCAATTTGAGAACAAACCTGGTTGAAGTGCGACCAGATTCTAGAGAAGCCGTTTTCCAAAATCTAGACAACCCGGACAAAATGACAACCTTGAAAGTACCTACTTTAATTCTACTTTTTTTTTTCATTGGTATAATGACAATTTTCAGTATTCCATGTTACACGTAACCCCCCCTATGAGCACACCTGCAGCTCTACAAAACTGCTCTGAACTGACAAACGAAGCCGGTTTTGTTGACGTCAACAAGTTGACCTTGCAAAGTGTCAGATTCGCCAACGTTTTCGCTATCGGGGATTGTAGCTCCACCCCAAATTCGAAAACTGCGGCCGCTGCAGGTATATTTCAACTCGCTTTACGTGGCAACATGGTTGCTCACATTTATTTGTTGTGTTATAGCCGCCCAGTGCCAAGTGGTTTTCAAAAACATGGAATCAGTGATGAAGAATACACCTGCTACCGCCAACTACGACGGATATGCCTCGTGTCCGCTGGTGACCGGCTATGACCGGTGTATTCTGGCCGAATTTGACTATAATCTAACACCTCTGGAAACTTTCCCTTTCAATCAGGGAAAAGAGCTCAAGAGCATGTATCTTATGAAGAAGATGTTGATGCCGCCGTTGTACTGGACTTTGATGCTAAATGGGTTCTGGAACGGGCCGGCCGCGGTCAGAAATCTTCTACATTTGAAATTTTCGCAAAAATGAGAAAAACGTCCAAATTATAAAACTTGAACTAGTGATTAAGTCTGCGATATTTTGGTGCTGTGTTGGGAAAAATAAAGCTTTATGTAACAACAATTTTTTGCAATAAAGGTCGATTCATAGGGTCGATTTACATTACGGTGTCGTTGACGTTGGGTTTTCAACCAATCAAATTGCGGGAGTGTGCAGTGCTGCCACTTTGAAGAAAAATCCCCTAAAGTACGGGGGACATTTTTCTGGTTGACAGCACGAAAGTAAAATTTTGATAAAGAGGTCAATATTAACTTATGTTTTGCCTTTTTTTTTTCTTAATATACATAGCCATTGTTTCACAACAAGAAACTTAAAACATGGTTAAATTAGGGAGCGGAGCCTAATTACAAAATCGATATTTCCTTATACAAATTTTCCATTTTAAACATATTTTAAGTTTCATGTTGTAAAAAGAAGTCTACACAGATTGAAACAAAACGACAAAATATATGCCCGCCCGCCCACCCTATCTTAATTGTGATTTTTTTTTTATTCATCGTGAACCAAGGGGGCGGAGCTTGGCTGCAAAATACTTATTTCTTTACAAGAAATTAACAACATGTTTTTGAATATCGTGTTGTTCAAGGAATACTATGTATATTAAGAAGGGGGAGGCAAAATATAGACCCCGCCCACCCACCCGATCTCAATTGGTAGGATTTTTTTATTCTTAGAAACTTAAAACATGTTTAAAATGGCAAATTTTTGTAGAGAAATATGGATTTGTAAGTAACCCCGCCCCTCGATCTGATAACGAATGAAAAATTCACCACAATTGAGAATTGAGATCAGGGCGGGTATAGGCGGAACCAAATCTTTGGCTTTGTTTTTCTCGTAATAATAGATAGTTTTCTTTGAACAATACGATTACTTAAGAACATATTTCACATGATCATTTCTCGTAGAAAAATAAGGATTTTAAAATTAATCTCCGCCCCTCGGGTTACGACGAATACAAAAAATCATCCGAATTGAGATGGGTCGGGTGGGCGGGGCTTATATTTTGCCTGTTTTTTCTTAATATACACAGCCATCTTTTCACAACAAGAAACTATATTTTAACTGAAATATAGTTAAAATGGTACATTTTTGCAAGGAAATATGGATTTTGCAATTATAGGGCGGAGCCTTAGATCATATAATAAATAGATACCACCACGCCGTGTTCTTTCCCTAGAAGAGCCTGTGACGACATCCTCCTGTCACACATCTCTCTCGTGCATGGAGGGATTACAATGAAGCTATCCTTGCCTGATCACTATTTGAATTTTGCGCGTCTAAATTTTTGGAAATGTGTCTGAACTAACTTCGTACGAAAGATGTTGACAGCTTGATTTTATACATAATTCACAGTAGATAACGAAAGGAATAGTAAATTATTGGGCAGCGATTGTGATCCTTTATGATTACATCACTTAAAATAGCATCTTTGTTCTAAATTCTAAAATTGTTTTTCGTACAAGAACACGAAAGAGAGGTTAGAAGAAACATCTGTCAAAAGCGATTTGTTGCGCTGGTGCGGTACAAGGATGGAAGTGAAATAGACATATACAGATGAAATGCATATAACAAAGATGAAGATGTGGTGATCACACAAGGATAGCATTATACTACTCCCTTTGACGTAGAAAACGACAACAGATAGCTTCATGTCTAGTCACACCTTTCAGTTTGAGTATTGGTATCTATTTATTATATGATCTAAGGGCGGAGCCTAATTCCTAAATCGATATTTCCTTATAAATACAAATTTACCATTTTAAACATATTTTAAGTTTCATGTTGTGAAAGGAAGTCTACACATACTAAATACAAAAAGGCAAAATGTAAGCCTGCCTACCCGTCCTACCTCAATTGTGATGATTTTTTTTTATTGGGTGTGAACCAAGAGGGCGGAGCTTAACTGCAAAATACTCATTTCTTTACAAGAAATTAAAAACCTGTTTTTGAGTATCGTGTTGTTGAAAGAATACTATGTACATTAAGAAAAAAAGGCAAAATATATTTTTAAATTTTTATTTTTCATTTTCGATTTTTGAATTTCTCGGTTTTATATATTTCGCTCTTTCAGTCTGACATCAAATGAAAAATTCATCAGAATTGAGATAGGGTGGGTGGGTGGGGCTTAATCATTGACATCTTTTTCTTAATGTAAGTAGTTTTTTTTTTTTTCAAAAACACGATGCTTTAAACGTAATTCTAATTTCAAATTCACTCTTTGATATTTTAAGTATTTTACTGTTGAAAGAAGAAAAAAAAATCAAAGAATAAGCCCCATCCACCCGCCCCATTGTGATTAATTTTTTATTCGTCGTGAGACGGAGGGCGGAGCTTAAATGCAGAGTTCATATTTTTCTACAAGAAATTAGCTTGTGAAAAAATGTTTTAAAAAAAATGAGGAAGTGCGAAATTGAAATATCGAAAAATTGCAAATCAAAAATCTGGGAGACCGAAAAATTACAAAATCGGAAAATAAAAAATTCAAAAAAATGTAGAATAGGAAAATCAAAGATTGAAGACTAGAAAACCTAAAATCGGAAAACTGGAAAGTCGAAAAATTGAAGTAACAAAAAATCACAAATGGAAAATTTGAAAATCGAAATATTAAAAATCGAGTAACTGGAAAATCCAAAAACTGACTAAACGATCTAGAAATTGACAAATCGAGCTAACTGTAAAATTGAAAAATTGGAAATTAAAAGACTGAATAAGTCAAAATTTTAAAAAAGTTAAAATTGAATAGGTACACGAAACATTGTACAATTAAAAAATTGCTCTAGGATCTGATCTAGCATGACCTGAGTTACGTCAGGTACCTCCTTTGAGGGCGCTAAGTATTAGGTATGTTTCAGTGGTCTTTCTCAATTCACGAAAAAAATTCAAAAAATATTTATCATCCAAGTAAGACACGACTTGTTGGTTTTCGAGCGGCAGCCGGAGAAACATGTTTAAAATTGTTAATATTGGTAGATAAATCCGGATTTTGGAATTAAACCCCGCCCCTCTATCTGACAACGAATGAAAAATTCACCACAATTGAGAATTGAGATCGGGGCGGGTGTGGGTGGAACCAAATCTTTGGCTTTGTTTTTCTCTTAATATACATGGTTTTCTTTGAACAATACGATTACTTGAGAACATATTTCAGATGATAATTTCTCGTAGAAAAATAAGGATTTTATAATTAATCTCCGCCCCTCGGGTTACGATGAATACAAAAAATCATCCGAATTGAAATAGGGCGGGTGGGCGGGGCTTATATTTTGCCTGTTTTTTCTTAATATACACAGCCATATTTTCACAACAAGAAGCTATATTTTAACTAAAATATAGTTAAAACGGTACATTTTTGCAAGGAAATATGGATTTTGCAATTATGGGGCGGAGCCTAATTGCTAAATCGATATTTCCTTATAAATACAAATTTACCATTTTAAACATATTTTAAGTTTCATGTTGTGAAAGGAAGTCTACACATACTAAAAACAAAAAGGCAAAATGTAAGCCCGCCCACCCGCCCTACCTCAATTGTGATGATTTTTTTTTATTGGGTGTGAACCAAGAGGGCGGAGCTTAACTGCAAAATACTCATTTCTTTACAAGAAATTAAAAACCTGTTTTTGAGTATCGTGTTGTTGAAAGAATACTATGTACATTAAGAAAAAAAGGCAAAATATATTTTTAAATTTTTATTTTTCATTTTCGATTTTTGAATTTCTCGGTTTTATATATTTCGCTCTTTCAGTCTGACATCAAATGAAAAATTCATCAGAATTGAGATAGGGTGGGTGGGTGGGGCTTAATCATTGACATCTTTTTCTTAATGTAAGTAGTTTTTTTTTTTTTCAAAAACACGATGCTTTAAACGTAATTCTAATTTCAAATTCACTCTTTGATATTTTAAGTATTTTACTGTTGAAAGAAGAAAAAAAAATCAAAGAATAAGCCCCATCCACCCGCCCCATTGTGATTAATTTTTTATTCGTCGTGAGACGGAGGGCGGAGCTTAAATGCAGAGTTCATATTTTTCTACAAGAAATTAGCTTGTGAAAAAATGTTTTAAAAAAAATGAGGAAGTGCGAAATTGAAATATCGAAAAATTGCAAATCAAAAATCTGGGAGACCGAAAAATTACAAAATCGGAAAATAAAAAATTCAAAAAAATGTAGAATAGGAAAATCAAAGATTGAAGACTAGAAAACCTAAAATCGGAAAACTGGAAAGTCGAAAAATTGAAGTAACAAAAAATCACAAATGGAAAATTTGAAAATCGAAATATTAAAAATCGAGTAACTGGAAAATCCAAAAACTGACTAAACGATCTAGAAATTGACAAATCGAGCTAACTGTAAAATTGAAAAATTGGAAATTAAAAGACTGAATAAGTCAAAATTTTAAAAAAGTTAAAATTGAATAGGTACACGAAACATTGTACAATTAAAAAATTGCTCTAGGATCTGATCTAGCATGACCTGAGTTACGTCAGGTACCTCCTTTGAGGGCGCTAAGTATTAGGTATGTTTCAGTGGTCTTTCTCAATTCACGAAAAAAATTCAAAAAATATTTATCATCCAAGTAAGACACGACTTGTTGGTTTTCGAGCGGCAGCCGGAGAAACATGTTTAAAATTGTTAATATTGGTAGATAAATCCGGATTTTGGAATTAAACCCCGCCCCTCTATCTGACAACGAATGAAAAATTCACCACAATTGAGAATTGAGATCGGGGCGGGTGTGGGTGGAACCAAATCTTTGGCTTTGTTTTTCTCTTAATATACATGGTTTTCTTTGAACAATACGATTACTTGAGAACATATTTCAGATGATAATTTCTCGTAGAAAAATAAGGATTTTATAATTAATCTCCGCCCCTCGGGTTACGATGAATACAAAAAATCATCCGAATTGAAATAGGGCGGGTGGGCGGGGCTTATATTTTGCCTGTTTTTTCTTAATATACACAGCCATATTTTCACAACAAGAAGCTATATTTTAACTAAAATATAGTTAAAACGGTACATTTTTGCAAGGAAATATGGATTTTGCAATTATGGGGCGGAGCCTAATTGCTAAATCGATATTTCCTTATAAATACAAATTTACCATTTTAAACATATTTTAAGTTTCATGTTGTGAAAGGAAGTCTACACATACTAAAAACAAAAAGGCAAAATGTAAGCCCGCCCACCCGCCCTACCTCAATTGTGATGATTTTTTTTTATTGGGTGTGAACCAAGAGGGCGGAGCTTAACTGCAAAATACTCATTTCTTTACAAGAAATTAAAAACCTGTTTTTGAGTATCGTGTTGTTGAAAGAATACTATGTACATTAAGAAAAAAAGGCAAAATATATTTTAAAATTTTTATTTTTCATTTTTTCGATTTTTGAATTTCTCGGTTTTACATATTTCGTTTTTTCAATTTTCCAATTTTGGAGTTTTTCAATTTTTCGGTGTCTAGATTGTTAGTTTTCCAATTTTACAATTCTGCGAATTTCCAAATTTCAACTTTTAATTTTCAATTTTAGGCTTTTTCGATTTTTCAACTTCTGAATTTTTAAGTTTTTTCTTTTTCTCAATTTTGAATTTTGAGAAATCGAAAAGTTGATTAAATAGATGAACTGAAAAATTTCAAACAGCACAATATAAAATAAAAATGTCAAGAAATTGAAAAATCGAAAAATAGAAACAGCAAAAAGTTGTAGTCTTCAACAACATTGAAACATCAAAAAACTAAAAATTAAAAAAACTGAGAAATTGAAAAATTCGAGAAATTTAAATTCGCATAACTGAAGAATCGAAAAATAAAAATATCTAGAAATTGAAAATTCTAATATTGAAATGTAGAAAAATTGAAAAAGTATAAAACGAGGACCTGAAAAATAAAAATCGAGACACTGAATAACCAAAAATTGAAAAATCAAAAAATCGAAAACTCGCAAAATTGAATAAACAAAAAATTTATCATCCGTTATTTTTTCGAACTTTAATTTTCTCATTTGTTGCCGTTTCTTCAGTTTGCGATGTTTCAGAGTTACAATTTTCCGTTTTTTCAATTTTCTCAATTTTTAATTTTCCGATTTTTCAATTTCAAAATATAGTTACATATTTCAATTTTTCAGTTTTTCGTTTCTTCATTTTTCGAGTTTTTAAATTTAAATTTTTGGAATTTTGGATATTTTAATTTTTCGTTATTTCCGATTATTAATGATTTTCTCCTTTTTCAATGATTGCATTTTTCGGTTTTTCATAATTTAGAAATTTTAATATTTCGATGTTTCTATTTTACAAATTTGGATTTTTTTAATTTTTCAATTTGTCAATTTTTGATGTTTCGGTCCAATTTTTGCTTTCCAGTGTTTAATTATATTTTTAATTTTTCAATTTTTCAACCTTTGAATTTTTTGATTTTATAATTTTTTGTTTTTTTAGTGCCTAGTTTGTTTCAAAATTAAATTTTTTATTTTTTAATTTTTCAATTTTTAATATTTCAATTCTTCGAATTTCAATGTTACAAGTTTTTTATTTTACAATTTGTCTTTTTTCAATTCTCTAGATTTTTAATTGTTTAATTTTTTGATGTTAACAAGTTACAATTTTTGGAGTTTTTAATTTTTGATTTTAAATTATCCCATTTCTTAATTATTCGATTTTTGATTTTTCACTTTTCCGATTTTAATTTTTTCTATATTTTTCAATCTTTAATTCTCGTTTTTTCGATTTTTTAATTTCACAGTTCTAGATATCTCGATTTTTCAATTTTCCATTTTTAGAATTTTTCGTTTTTTCAGTTTCTTTTTTAATTTTTCAATCTTCGAATTTCCAATTTTATCATTTTTGAGGATTTATTTGATTTTTCAGCTGCTCGATTCTTAAATTTTCAGTTTTTCGATGTCTCCATTTTTCCATTGTCCAATTCTTAAAAAAAATCGAAAAATTGAAAAATCGAAAAATTGGAAAATAAGAGAAGTTTGAAAATCGCATAACTGAAGGATTGCAAAATCCAAATATTTAGAGATTGAAAATTCGTAAAGTTGAAAAGTCGATAAATTGTAACATTGAAATGTAAAAAAATTGAAAAATTATAAAATTAGGTTTTCAAACACGATTGTTTATACCAAATATTGACTAAGTGTAATACGTAAATTGATTTAATAAATAAACAATTTCATTAAAGGAGATGGTAAAGTGGGTTAAATAAAAAAAAGTACAATAGTTGTATGATCTAAAATTAAACATATTTTAGGTTCAATTCCAATGAGTTTAGTTTTTTCTCGGAGGAAAAAACGCCAAAAAAGTATTTCTTTTCGCTACATATTCTGGGCTCCTTTCTAAACACAAATACATATTTTAATAACATGTCTTAAAAAAAAATTATAATACAAATGTAAAATAAAAAAATACTAGAAACAGCTTTTTTCGAAAAATTTTTGATTACAGTTAAAATTACAAAGATAATTTTTGTATATGTAAAAAAACAACTCTTTTTTCGAAGAGTCAATGCTGACTTAAACGAAGTGACATTTGTCGAGTCTAGGGAATTTTCAATTTAGTGCCTTTATGATACTGTGCTTTATGTGTCAAATCAGCAACTAAATTTATTTATAATTACGACGCGACTCGCTAAATTTATAGCTTCTAGTGCATTAGTTTATTTCTGATTACAAACGCTGTACTCTAAATAAGATCATTTTTTTTGTTTAAAGTTTTTACAAAAAGTTGCTGTTTTGGCTGCACAGTTCTGTCATCTGTCATCGCCGCCATTAGCTTCCTTTTCTAGTTGTCTACAAAAGTGTCAACATGAATCCGACTTTGCAGAAGGTAAGTGATTAAATTTAACTCCAAAGATGTGAATATTACATAAATATGTTTCTTCTTTTGTAGCAAAAAAAGGAGCCAATCCACTCAGTCCAAGTTTTTGGACGCAAAGTAAGTCACTCATAACCTCAAAATCGACACGTGTATACCAACTATTTACAATTTTTAGAAATCGGCCACAGCTGTAGCCTACTGCAAACGCGGTAGAGGCATTTTGAGAGTCAATGGACGCCCCCTGAGCCAGGTTGAACCCAAAATGTTGCAAGATAAATTGCAAGAACCAATTTTGTTGCTCGGCAAGGTACACAATTAATATCTACAATTCCGTGAATTTCAACCAAAGTGATGATTATTTATCCCGAAAATGAGCAAAAATCGTGAAATTAAAACCCCACTGATTTGCTTCCTTTATATTATAGTTAGGTGTAAATGGTGCGTTTAACTACAGTGTGTTAATTTTTAGGATAAATTCTCTGCCGTGGATATTCGAGTTCGCGTCAACGGCGGCGGCCACGTTTCGCAAATCTACGCCATCAGACAAGCGATTTCCAAGGCGCTGGTCGCCTACTATCAAAAATGTAAGTACTAGAAAGTCCGATCCAACATTTCTTAATTCGGCGTTGTAGATGTGGATGAAGCGTCAAAGAAAGAATTGAAAGACATCCTCATCCAGTACGACCGCACTTTGCTGGTGGCCGATCCCCGTCGCTGCGAGCCCAAGAAGTTCGGCGGTCCGGGCGCCCGCGCCAGATACCAGAAATCGTACCGTTAAGGCACTGTATCACTTATTTCTAATAAAATTTAATTGAAACCAAGCACAAACTCAAGTTTATTGTATAGAATCAAAAATACAGGTGAGTCAAACATTCAACAAGTTCACACTAAAAATATATATTTGAGAGGAATTTTCATGACTAGAATTGTTTCGTTTGAGTCTGGTCTGCTCAGACTAAGCCAGTGTTGATTTTGGCCCCCATCCGTCGCAGCGCTATGATGGTGTTGACCGCCTTAATCCACCGCTTTTTAATCACGTATCTTTTGAGTTTCGATTTACTGAGTTCCATTTCTGGGTGAACCGTGTCCGTGGAGAGCCAGGGGTCCTCGAGGGCCTCCGTCGCGCTCATTCTCGCTCTAGAAATGTCAAGGTTATCAGAATGGATTTTTGGTCCATTTTGATGTGGGGTTCAGTGAAGTTTGACACTTGGTTTTATATGTTTTATTTAACGATGACGTCTACATACATTAACATAGAACTTTAAGATACTGGATGGTCCCAATTAGTGTTTATAAAATGCGTTTTTGAAGCTAAAACTCGAGATTCTGTTTCATTGCTGTCGGTGTTGACGCAAAATTGTTTGCACTGTGGTAATGAGATTCGAGAAAAACTCTTTCATGTGAGAAAATAAAAATAAACACGAGCTGCTCCAATTTCTTGGACGGGTTTAAATATTTGGAAAATATTTTCAAAGCGGTGAAATCGCATAAACTTGTTAAGCATGGAAACAGAATCCAAATGACCTCGGTTTTATTTTAAACAGTGTGAATGATGTACCAGAAGCGACTAAATTGCTGCAAATAGGGATGGAAACAAAATTTCTGATTTCGTTGCGGAAACATAACCTCACTTTTACAATTAAATTGAAATGAGTCTCGAAATAGAGTTTGAAATTTAGGTGTACGATGGAAACTGTATTTCGTTTGTAATATCGTTTGTTAACTCAGGTTTTCGTAATTAAAATGCATTACACAAATTCGTTACAAAAACATAACCTCACTTTTAAAATCGAGATACGAAAAAATTCAAGTGTACAACGTAAACCATTTTAGACCTTTTTACGAGCGCTAAATAAATATACGCAAATAAAAATTAGATTTACGAGCTCAGACAGAGGCTACGACGTTACAAAAACATAACCTCACTTTAACAGTTTAATATAAGACAAGTATAAATTTTTAAGTTGGTTTTAGTAATAAATCGCCTGTATAAATGATCCCCAAATTGAAGCACAATTTTCCAGCCCTATTGCATGCATATACAGTGTGTCCTGCAAAAGTGACTTAGCGCAAATGATAGATGGCGCTGATTATCCTCGGTGTCAAAATTGTCATAACCAAAATGAGGTTAGAGCAACCCAGTAAATATCGTCATTTTCGTTACTGGTGTAATTACATAGTAAAGACCGAAGTCCTCAAGTTCGGCTTAAAATTAAAGAAAAGTAAAAAAACTAGCAATAACCTGACAGCCAAAACAAAATGCAAGCGTTAGTATACTTAAACCACAATTATTGATTATGATGAAAAGTGGTGATCTTTTTACTCGTAGCCCTCGACTGGAAAAAGTTATTCAAGGAGCTGATGGTCTTCTGACCCAGCGAGTCGCTCTCGCTCCACTCCACCGAAACCGACCCATGCCTGGGATTGGGTCTCGCGGGCCCGTGGGGCCCGTCCCACTGCTCCAGCAACCTTAGCAACAAGTTTTTCGTGCCGTCGGGCCCCGGACTGGGGCTGTGCCCCAACCCATCCACCTCCTCCACCCTTTCAAATCTCTCGTAGCTCTTCACACTTTTAGCAATGAGCGGCACATCTCTGCTCTTGTGGTTAAGTCTGTACTTCGTCCGCCTCCACGGCACCCCGCAATTGGGGCTCTCCGGGTGGTCCCTTGGCAGCCCGTTCTCGATTCTGATCGGCACGGAATGTGTGGGTGGCTCCTTCTTGATCGTGATAGTGGGCAGCGATAGCTCGTCGAAGCTGTCATTCGTGACAGTCGTTGTCATGTTTGACAGCTGGAATAGTTTGTCGGATAGTTTCCGGATTTCCTCGGCCAAGTTGATGCGCTCGGTCACGTCGGGCCCCTTGAGGATGCAGGTGCTGTCGGAGGAGCGCCTCAAGTGGTCCAGGGTGGGCGGGGCTAGTTCGTTGGTGTCAAAACTGACAAAGGCGTTGTCGGAGCCGGGGGAGGAGGCCAACGAGCCGCAGGGGGAGGGCGAAAGACCGACGAGCGAGTGCAGCGACTGCAGCGAGTCGCTCAATTGGTGCCCCCCTGCGCAGGTGGGGGAAATGATGTGTGACGTCACTTCGAACACGTAAGGGGAGTTGGGGTGCTCGTTCCAGCGCTCCACGAACTGTCTTAAATTGTCTTTGGTCACGTCCATGGATGGAGAGCGTGGCACGGACTTTTTGCGCTTCAACCACTCGTGGTTCAAGCAGTCTTCCGCAGACATGCGCTCGCTGGAAGGAGAAAGTTAGTTAGTAGTGGAGGAAATTTCAAGCGACTCTCTTAGTTTCCAAGTCGGGGTAGATCGCCACATACATTGTAAAACCCAGTCCGTTTTATCCAAAAATTTACAAAAAGTCAGTGTTAATCAACTTAAGTTTGTGCTAAGTTAGTGAAATTTGACTCCAAAAAAGTGTGAATATCAATCTAATTTATAAGTTTTGTTATCATTTATTTTTATTTGAATAAATAGTACCAGCAAGCTTGTGTTTCATTCCTTTTGTTGTCCACACTCTGGACTCTAATTGGGTTATTACAACATATAGGCCAAAGAAAAAATCTAGAAGTATCAAGCTAATTCTTCCCTAGACAAAAAAGCGCACTTTTCTAGTCTAGTCTAGTCAAAATTTTGTCATTTTTCTCCGAATTTTACTCCACTACGGGTGATTAATGGGGTGAAGCATGCAAACTCCCACAAGTTAGTGAGTCTGGGCAGGTTTTGGCATGCTTTTCCCTTAGAAAAAAAATCACTCACTGAAGATCTTTGTTGAGGAGTTTCCTAATAAAGTCTTTAGCCATCTCGGAAATCTCCTGGAAGGCTTCATCTTCAAAGTCGTACTTAGCAATAGTCACGTTGGCCATGGTTTCCACGTCAGTGTGACCCATAAAAGGCGACAACCCCGATAGTCTAAAAAAAAAAAACTTCTCAAAACTGTAGTTTCTAGAACGTTTCTACTTACAAAACGTAGCAGATCACCCCAACCGACCACATATCAGTGCCAAACCCGATTCGATCAAAATTGACAACTTCGGGTGCCACGAACTCGGGAGTGCCAAAAAGCACTTGGAGTTTCTTGTCGGGGTCGAAACGTCTAGCCAGCCCGAAATCGATTATTTTGATTCTGTTGCCGGTCCTCGTCAAGCAGAGGATGTTTTCGGGCTTCATGTCCAAGTGGAGGATTCTCTGCTTGTGGATGAAGTCTATGCCCTCGCAGATCTGGCGCATGAAAACTGTGCAAGCTTTTTCGGTGAGGACGAAGTCGTCGTCGATTACTCTTTCGAAGAGCTCTCCACCTTCGATTCTAAGACGCAACGGTGATTTTTGGGTTTGTGGATTTTGTTTACTTACAGTTCTAGGATGACGCACATGACTTTGCCGTTTTCGAAGGCGTCGTAGAGTTGGATTAGGCGCGGGTGTTGGAGGGTTTTCATTATGTCGACTTCTCGTTCCACATTTCGGCGGTCTTCTTTCTTTGGCACTCCTACGAATTTTGCGGCCAAAGATAGACCGGTGGCCTTCTCACGGCATTTGTAAACGGTACCAAATTTGCCTCTGTAATGTCAAAATGGCGCGATTGGTTGGTTTGAATTTGCCGCTTGTGGTGATGGTGATGTGGACTAAACTGACGTGTTGCGATTGGTTAATGTGAAATGTCGAGTGCACGGTTTGAACGAATGTCAATTTACGCTGCCGTGGCGACTAATCACAATAAAGCACATTGGCGTCAAATTTAAATTGGCGCAAATTCGAATACTGTTTTTGGATTTTTAATAATTTTTCATTTTTCTGGTTTTATGATTTCCGATTTTTCCAGTTTTTTTAGTTTTTCTATTTTCCATTTTTCGATCTTTATTTCGTATATAACTAAAATATAGAAATAATCAATTTTAAAATTTTTGAGTTATTTCATTTGTTAATGTCTTCGATTTTTCCTATTTTTCAGTTTCCCATTTTCCGATCAATTAGTTTTTTGATCACATATTATTTTGCAATTTTTCGATTTAATAAGTTTTTGATGTTTCAATTTTTTCGATATTTCAGTTTCCCAATTTTTAATTTTTAGGTTTTTAACTTTCTGTTTCTTCAATTTCACGATTCCTTAATTTTTCCATTTTTCCAATTTTTTAGTTTTCCATATTCCCTTCAATTAGATTTTTTATTATTATTTTGCATTTTTTTTATTTTTTAATTTCTCGATCCTTAATTTTTCAATTTCCCAATTTCAGTTTTTTATTTTCAGATTTTTCAGTTTTTCGTTTCTTCAATCTTACGATTTCCCAATTTTTCATGTTGGGATCAATTAGTTTTTCACTTCTTTAGCAGTTTTTCAATTTTTCAATTCTCTACTTTCTCGATTCTTAATTTTTCGATTTTTTAAATTTTTGATATCCAATTTTTCATTTGTTCAATTGTTCCATCTGCAAATTTTCCTTTTTTCAATTTTTTGATTTTTCAATTTGCAGTTGTTCGATTTGCAAATTTTCGTTTTTCCAATTTTCTTCATTGTTTCAATTTCCAAATTTTCGATTTCTCGTTGTTTCAGTTTTTTGATTTTCTACGTTTTCAATTTTTCTGGTTCCCATTTAAAATTTTTCCGATTTTTATATATTTTGTTTCTTCAATCTCACGATTTCCCAATTTTTCTAATTATTCCATTTCGGATCAAGCGGTTTTTCAATTATTTTGTAATTTTCTCGTTTAATTGTTCGATTTTTGAAAATTTTCATTTCTTCAATATTTGATTTGCAATTTTCGTTGCTTCAGTTTTTAGATATGTTAGAATTATTCGTTTCTTCAATTTTTCATTTTGCAAATTTTCCATCTTTCGTTTTCCCATTTTTTCGATTTTTCGCTTTTTCGACTTTTCATTTTTCAAATTTCCATTTTTCGATTATGTTTTTTTCATTTTGCAATTTTTCCATTTTTCATTTCCTCGATTTTACTATTTTTTGCTTTTTCAATTACTCCATTTTTTCTTGAGTCTTACGAATTCTTTATTTTTTCAATTTTCCTTTTTCCGATCAAGTTATTAAGTTATTAACTTTTCAAGTTATTTTGGGATTTTTCTATTTTAGATTTTTTAGTTTCTCGATTTAAATTTTACTATTTTTCTATTTCTAACTTTCGATTTTTCAAATTTTTGATTTTTCAATTTTTCATTTCTTCAATTTTTCGATATTACAATTTTTCAAGTTTTCAATTTCTTAGTTTCTCGACTTCTAATTTTTCGATTTTTCAATTTTTTGATGTGTAATTTTCGATTTTTCAAATTTTTTATTTTTAGTTTTTCGTTACGTCAATTTTGGATTTTCCAATTTTTAGTTTCTTCAATTTTTTGATTTGCAAATTTTCGGTTTTTTAATATTTTGTTGTCTCAATTTTTCGATTTTTTACTATTTAGATGATTCAAATTTTTCTTTCTGAAGTTTTTCTGTTTCTAAATTTTGCCATTTTTTCGATTTTGTTCGATTTTGCAATTTTTAAAATTTTCATTTCCTCGATTCTAATATATATATTTCGATTTTTGAGTTTCTCGATTTTTAATTTTTCGACTTGCAATTTTTCGATTTTTTTTTCCGTTATCCACTTCACTAGTTTTTCGATTATTTTTCAATTTTTCAATTTTTGTTTTCAATTTTTCGTTCCTTTAATTTTTCGATTTTCCAATTTTTTCATTTGTAATTTTCGATTTTTCAAATTTTTAATTTCTTAAATTTTCGTTTCTTCCATTTTTCGATATGCAAATTTTCGTTTTTTGTATTTTTATTTTTTCAATTTTTCGATTTTTCACTATTTCGATTTTTAACATTTTTGTTTCTTCAGTTTTGTTGTTTCTAAATTTTGCTATATTTTTCCGATTTTGTTCGATTTTGCAATATTTAGATTTTTCATTTCCTCTTTTTCAATATTTTTCGATTTTTTAGTTTTTCGATTTTTCATTTTTCGATTTACAATTTTTAGATTTTTCACTTTCTTCGATTTTTTAATTTGCAAGTTTTCTATTTTTCGTTTTTAATTCAGATTTTCCATTTTCCAATTTTTCATTTTTCTTTCTTGAATTTTGGGATTTCTAAATTTGTTTATTTTTCCCCTTTTTCGATTATCCATTTCCCATGTGCACTAATTTTTCGATTATTTTGCAATTTTTCAATTTTTCAAATGTTCGGTGTCCGCTTTTTCAGTTCCTCGATTTTAAATTTTTGAGATTTAACTTTTCCGCTCTTAAATTTTTCTATTTGCATATTTTCGTTTCGTTTTAATTATCCATTTTTCAATTTCTCAGTTCCTCGATTTATAATTTTTCGATTTTTCAACGTTTCAATTTTTCGTTTCGTTTTTGCAGCTCTTTTAGTTTCCAATTTAAAATTTTTCATTTTTCGATTAGTGATTTCAGTTCTACAATTTTTTCAATTTTTCGTTTGTTCAATCTTACAATTTCCCAATTTTTCATTTTTACAATTCTTCGATCTGCAAATTTTCGTTTTTTCAATTTTTTCAATTTTCATTTTTTCGATTTTTCAGGTCTCATTTTTAATTTTTCGGTTTTTCAATTTTTCGTTTATTGAATCTTACCATTTCCCAATTTTTCTAATTTTTCATTTCGGACTATTTGGATTTTCAATTATTCTGAATTTTTTTAGTTTCTCGATTTTTAATTTTTCGATTGTTCAGTTTTTCGATTTGTAAATTTCGATTTTTCAAATTTTTGATTTTCCAATTTTTCATTTCTGCAATTTTTCGATTTGCAAACTTTTGTTTTTGTAGTTTTAGATTTCCCATTTCCTTTTTTTCCAATTTTCAAATGGTTATTTAATTATTTTGTAATTTTTTTTTTAGTTTTCGAGTTTTTAATTTTTCGATTTTTCAATTTTTCGATTTGAAATTTTTGAGTTTTCAAAATTTTGATTTTCCAGTTTTTCCATTTTTCGGTTAAACTTTTTTTTCAGATCTCAATTTTTTAGGTTTTAGACTTTTAATTTTTCTATTTTAAAATTTTTCGATGTGTAGTTTTCGAATTTTAAAATTTTTGATTTTATGTTTCTTCAATTTTTGATTTTCCAATTCTTAGTTTCTTCAGCTTTCTATTTGCAAATTTTCGTTTTTCAATTTTTCGATGTTTTAATTTTTCAATTTGTGAGTTTTTGAATTTTTTTTTTAGTTTTTCGATTTTTCAAATTTTTCTTCCTGTAATTTGGTGTTGCTAAACTTTGCTATATTTGTCCTATTTTATTTGATGTTGCAATTTTTAGATTTTTCATTTCTTCAATTTTAATATTTTTCAAATTTGCGATTTTTAATTTTTTGAGTTGGAATTTTCGAGTTCTCATTTTTCGTTTCTCCAGTCTTTTGTGTTTTCGATTTTTAGATAAATTAATTTTTCCTTTCGATTTTTCGTTTTTCAGCTTTTCGATTTTTCAATTTTTCAGTTTCTCAATATTTGATTTTTTCGGTTTTTAATCTTTTTTTTAACAATTTTGCGATTTCTAATTTCTCTATTTTCCTTATTTTTCAAGTTTCCTTTTTCCAATTTACTAGTTTTTAGATTATTTTGCTTGAAATTTTTCGATTTTTATGTTTCTTGATTTTCTTTTCTTAGTTTTTTATTAGATATATATTTTGTCATTTTTCGCTCCTTTAGTTCTTTGACTGTCAATTTTTTAATTTGCGATTTTTCGGTTTTTTGATATTTTAATTTTTCGGTTTTTCGTTTCATTTTTAAATTTTGTGTTTTCAATTGTCCGATTTTTCAATTTTTCGATTTGAAATTTTTGATTTTTCAAAATTTTGATTTTCCAGTTTTTCGTTTCTTCAATTTTTCATTTTGCAATTTTATGATTTGCCATTTTTCGATTTTTCAAATTCTCAATTTTCATTTTTCAATTTTTCGGTTACATTTTTTTCAGAACTCAATTTTTTAGTTTTTAGACTTTTAATTTTTCTATTTTTAAATTTTTCGATGTGTAGTTTCCGAATTTTAAAATTTTTGATTTTTTGTTTCTTCAAGTTTTGATTTTCCAATTTTTAGTTTCTTCAGTTTTCGATTTGCAAATTTTCGTTTTTCAATTTTTCGTTTCTTTAATTTTTCAATTTGTGAGTTTTTGATTTTTTGTTTTTTTTATTTTTCGATTTTTCAAATTTTTCTTTCTGCAATTTGGTGTTGCTAAACTTTGCTATATTTTTCCTATTTTGTTTGATGTTGCAATTTTTAGATTTTTCATTTCTTCAATTTTAATATTTTTCAAATTTTCGATTTTTCAATTTTTTGAGTTGGAATTTTCGAGTTCTCATTTTTCGTTTCTCCAGTCTTTTCTGTTTTCGATTTTTAGATATTTTAATTTTTCCTTTCGATCCTTCGTTTTTCAGTTTTTCGATTTTTCACTTTTTCAGTTTCTCCATATTTGATTTTTTCGGTTTTTCATCTTCTTTTTTAACAATTTTGCGATTCCTAATTTCTCTATTTTCCTTATTTTTCAAGTTTCCAATTTCCAGTTTACCAGTTTTTCGGTTATTTTGCTTGAAATTTTTCGATTTTTATGTTTCTTGATTTTCTTTTCTTAGTTTTTTATTAGATATATATTTTGTCATTTTTCGCTCCTTTAGTTCTTTGACTGTCAATTTTTTAATTTGCGATTTTTCGGTTTTTTGATATTTTAATTTTTCGGTTTTTCGTTTCATTTTTAAATTTTGTGTTTTCAATTGTCCGATTTTTCAATTTTTCGATTTGAAATTTGATTTTTCAAAATTTTGATTTTCCAGTTTTTCGTTTCTTCAAGTTTTCATTTTGCAATTTTATGATTTGCCATTTTTCGATTTTTCAAATTCTCAATTTTCATTTTTCAATTTTTCGGTTACATTGTTTTTTCAGATCTCAATTTTTTAGTTTTCAGACTTTTAATTTTTCTATTTTTAAATTTTTCGATGTGTAGTTTCCGAATTTTAAAATTTTTGATTTTTTGTTTCTTCAATTTTTGATTTTCCAATTTTTAGTTTCTTGAGCTTTCGATTTGCAAATTTTCGTTTTTCAATTTTTCGATGTTTTAATTTTTCAATTTGTGAGTTTTTGATTTTTTGTTTTTTTAATTTTTCGATTTTTCAAATTTTTCTTTCTGCAATTTGGTGTTGCCAAATTTTGCTATATTTTTCCTATTTTGTTTGATGTTGCAATTTTTAGATTTTTCATTTCTTCAATTTTAATATTTTTCAAATTTTCGATTTTTCAATTTTATGAGTTTGAATTTTCGAGTTCTCATTTTTCGTTTCTCCAGTCCTTTGTGTTTTCGATTTTTAGATATTTTAATTTTTCGTTTCGATCTTCCGTTTTTCAGCTTTTCGATTTTTCACTTTTTCAGTTTCTGAATATTTGATTTTTCGGTTTTTCATCTTTTTTTTTTCTTCAATTTTACGATTTCATAATATTTAAATTTTCCCTATTTTTCAATTTTCCGTTTTTCCGTTTAATTAGTTTTTTATTATTCATTTTGTAATTTTTCGTTCCTTCAGTTCTTTGACTGCCAATTTTTTGATTTGCGATTTTTCAGTTTTTTGATATTTTAATTTTTCGATTTTTCGTTTCATTTTTAAATTTTGTGTTTTCAATTGTCCGATTTTTCTTTTTACAATTTTTCAAAATTTCAGTTTCAATAAATTCGTAGAAACACCAAAACTTAACAAAACGAAAAATTCAAAAGTTGACAAACTCAAAAATTTAAACTTAAAATCAAAAATCGGTGTCAGTTAAAAAACCAGAACAAAAATAACCACAATAAAAACAATAACACTGTGCTTTGTTGTGATTGGTCGGCGTAAATTAAGTTTCGACAAGGCGGCATAGGTCAAGGCTTACTTGAATAGAATAAACTTTTAGATACATTTGTACACTATACTATGAATAAAAAATAGCCAACTAAAAAAAGAGTGGTTGTAAATGTTTGCTGATCTCAGTTGGCCGTTATTTGCGCATCCTTCTGATGGTGGACCCGATTAGTCACAAATTTGACAAATTTAATAATGATACTGCGATCAACAAACTTTTTTTTAAATTGACCTCCCCCAGACTTTACCTCCCTATCTCCTCCTCCAGCTCGTACAGCTCCTTGGGGTCCACCCCCTTCTGTATCTGCACATTCCTGTACGGAAAGCTGAGTTGAACTTCTGAAAATTTGCTCAGTGTGAATGGGATTGTGCAAGCGTTTCGAAATTTGACGTCCCGCCAATTGGCCGTCTGCCTAACTGAATTCATGTTACAAACCAAAACAATCACTTTCGGCCTGTTGGGAAAATCGTGACTCGAAAGAATGGGCGTGATGCGTTCTAGTTTTTATTAGATGCTCTAAAATGCGGGATCTGGCTCAAAAATTTCCGAAAAATTGGGTCTAGGTGGGCCGGTGTTGTCTTCCGCATTTCGCGAACTTTGCCTTTTCGCTGTTTGTTTATAATTAGGTGAGTAACTGAGGCAAAGTAAATTCGGATGAAAATAAGCAGACTTTGTTTATGGGGTCGAAAGAAATAGCTGCAGGTATGACGTGTAAATAAAATAAACAGGGTCAGCGTACTTGCCGTGTTGCGGGAAAAGATGATAAATGCCCAGGTATTTTAAAAGTGGTTTGAAAATGACGTGGAGGCGACGAATGAATCATTTGAAATATTTCCGGTGAGAAAAAAATTGAGTGCCAGATGGACCTTGATGTCACATTTCAGCTCATTTTAATTTGGTGATGGTAGACAAGAAAAACGACACTTCCATAAAACACGTATAAATAGTGTCCGTGTCGTTTAGTTAATTAATAAAAATACTCCAGTCGGCCATTTTGTGCCACGCCGGGTTTTAAACGGCGCCAAATTCAACTACAATGAAAATCATGCGACAAAGTCGGACTTATTTTATTTCTCGCCCACGCGTTTCGCTCATTGTTTGTACGGTTATTGTTTGCTTTTATTCCATTCAGTGCGAGCATTCAATATTGGTTGCTACGAGACAAAGCAAAATGAAGCCGGTGTGTCAGATAAAATTCAATTTGATCGTTTCTCTTCAACCAAGTTTCTGAGTTCACTTATAAACACTCGGAATATAAATAATTCTGAAAATATGCGTCCTGATCAAAAAAAGGACGCAGAATCAGTGGATTTGGTATCAAGTTTCGTTATTTATGAAAAAGGAATGGAACGCCGTTTTTCCGGTTCAGTGTGCAAATAAACGAAATCGTGTTTGTAAAGTCGGCATTTTGCTGTGGAAGTGGAAAATGAGTATTTATTTGAAAAAGCGAAATGAATAACATGGTGTGGTAAATACAGTTTTATTTGGTAAAGGTTGGAAGTGTTTTTTTTTTAATGGTCAATTTTAAACAACACTACAGAAATAAAAATAAATCTAAATCTGTTGGTTTTGGATTCTATGTGAATCGAACCCCGAGTTTTCAGACCCTAGTGTCTCTTTGTATGACTTTTTCCGGTTTCTCAATTTTTATTTTTTTGATTCTTCAATTTTTCGATTTGCATTAATTTTTTCAATTTGCAATTTTTCTATTATTTTGCAATTTTTTGATTTTTCTGTTTCTAAGCAGTTAATTTTTATTTTTCAATATTTCGATTTGATAATTTGAAATTTTTTCAGTTTTTCGACTATAATTCAATTTTCCGTTGTCCGATTCATAATAATTAGTATTTCCACTATTGTTTTGAAATTTTTATATTTCTTGTTTCCTCGATTTTAAATTTTTTGACTTTTCAATTTTTCGTTTCTTCAAATTATCGAGTTTATGTTTTGTCGTTTTTTCGATTTTCGATTTTTCACTTCTTCGAGATTCAATTTTTGATTTTTTAGTTCCTCGATGTTTCAGTTTTTTTACTTGGAATTTTTGGATTTTTCAAGTTTTCTATTCGTAAGTTCGATTTTTATTTTTTGTTTTAAATTTTGCATTTTTTTCGATTGACAATTTCCCGTTGCTTTTCGATTTTTCAGTAGCTCATTTTTTAATTTTTCGACCCTTCGCTTCGTCAATTCTACGATTTCTCAATTTTCGCATTTTCCATTTTTCCATTATTGTTTTGCAATTTTGCGATTTTTCAGTTTCTCGATTCTTAATATTTCAATTTTCCGAATTTTCAGTTTACAGTGATGTATTCAGTTTTTAAATTTTTGATTTTTGATTTTTTCAATTTTTCAGGTACTCTTTTTTAATTTTTCATTTTTCAGTTATTTGTTCTCTATATTTTTCCGACTTTTCAAATTTTCATTTTCCTATTACATAATCTTATTACCAATTTTCGATTTTTCATTTCCTCCATTTTACTATTTAATTTTGTAATATCCGATTTTTCAGTTTTTCATTTCTTCAATTTTTGTTTTGCAAATTTTCATTTTTTCAATTATTGGATATTTTAATTTTTCCCTTCTTCAATTATTTCATTTTGCAAGATTTGGATTTTTGGTTTTATCAATTTTTCGTTCCTTCTAAACAAAAGAATCTATTGAAAAAATTGGAAAGAATAGAAATTTGGGAGAATCGAAAGAATCTGAAAGAATCTCAAATGATCTGAGAACTTGAATGAATCTGATAGAATTTGAGAGAATTTAATCGAATCTGAACTAATCTGATAGAATCTGAAAGTGTCTGAAAGAATCTGAAAGAATCTGATAGAATCTGAAAGTATCTAAAAGAATTCGAAAAATTGGAAAGAATAGAACATGGGACACTCGAAGGAATCTGAAAGAATCTCAAAGGATCTGTAAGAACCTGAATGAATCTGATAAAATTTAATAGAATATGAAAGAATCTGAGAGAATCTGAAAGAATCTTAAAGAATCTGAAAGAATCTGAAAGAATCTGAAAGAATCTGAAAAAATCTCAAAGAATCTGAAAGTCTGAAAGAATTTGATCGAATCTGATCGAATCTCAGAGAATCTGAAAGAATCTGAGAGAATTTGATCTAATCTGAAACAATCGAACGAATCTTATAGAATCTGAAAGAATTTCATAAAATCTGATCAATTCTGAGGGAATCTGAAAGAATCTGAATGAATCTGACACAATATGACAAAATCTGAAAGAATCTGAATAAATCTGATAGAATCTGATGAATCTGAGAGAATCGGATAGAATCTTAAAGAATTTGAGATAATCTGAAAGAATCTAAGGGAATCTGAGAGAACCTGAAATAATCTGAAAAAATTTTATTCAATTTGATAGAATCTTAAAGAATCTGCGAGAATCTGAAATAATCTGAGAGAATGTGAACGAATTTGATCGAATCTGAAACAATCGAACGATTCTTATAGAATCGGAAAGAATTTCATAGAATCTGATCAAATCTGAGAGAATCTGAAAGAATTTGAAAGAATCTGAATGAATCTGACAGAAATGACAGAATCTGAAAGGATCTGATAGAATCTGAAAGACTTTGATAGAACCTGAATGAAACTGGGAGAATCTGGAAGAATCTGTTCGAATCTGAAGGAATCTGAAAGAATCTGGGATAATCTGAAAGAATCTGGGATAATCTGAAAGAATCTGGGATAATCTGAGAGAATCTGAAAGGCTTCGATAGAATCTGAAATAACCTGAATAAATCTGATAGAATCTGATGAAGAATAGATCTGATAAAATATGACAGAATCTGAGATAGTCTGAGTGAATCTGACACAGTTTGAAAATATCTGAAAGAATCTGAACGAATCTGAGAGAATCTGGGAAAATCTGAAAGAGTCTGAAAGAATCTGAATTAATCTGATAGAAGATGACAGAACCTGAAATAATCTGATTCAATTTGATAGAATCTGAAAGAATTGGGAAAAATCTGAAAGAATCTGAAAGAACCTGAAAAAATCTGAAAGAATCCCAAAGAATCTGAATCAATCTGATATAATATGACAGAACCTGAAATAATCTGAAAAAATCTTATTCAATTTGATAAAATCTGAAAGAATCTGAAAACATCTGAGACATTCTGAAATAATCTGAGAGAAGGTGAACGAATTTGATTGAATCTGCGAGAATCTGAGAGAATCTGAAAGAATCTGGCAGAATCTGAGAGAACTTGATTGAATCTGAAAGAATCGAAGGAATCTGATAAAAGTTGAAAGAATTTGATAGAATCTGATCGAATCTGAAAAAATTTGATAGAATCTGAATGAAACTGGGAGAATCTGGAAGAATCTGTTCGAATCTGAGGGAATCTGAAAGAATCTGGGATAATCTGAAAGAATCTGGGATAATCTGAAAGAATCTGGGATAATCTGAAAGAATCCGGGATAATTTGAAAGAATCTGGGATAATCTGAAAGAATATGGGATAATCTGAAAGAGTCTGGGATAATCTGAAAGAATCTGGGATAATCTGAGAGAATCTGAAAGACTTCGATAGAATCTGAAATAACCTGAATAAATCTGATAGAATCTGATGAAGAATAGATCTGATAAAATATGACAGAATCTGAGATAGTCTGAGATAATCTGGGAAAATCTGAAAGAGTCTGAAAGAATCTGAATCAGTCTGGTAGAAGATGACAGAACCTGAAATAATCTGAAAGAATCTGATTCAATTTGATAGAATCTGAAAGAATCGGAAAGAATCTGAAAGAATCGGAAAAAATCTGAAAGAATCTGAAAGAATCTGAAAGAATCTGAAAGAATCTCAAAGAATCTGAAAGAATCTCAAAGAATCTCAAAGAATCTGAATCAATCAGATATAATATGACAGAACCTGAAATAATCTGAAAAAATCTTATTCAATTTGATAAAATCTGAAAGAATCTGAAAAAATCTGAGAGAATTTGAAATAATCTGAGAGAAGGTGAACGAATTTGATTGAATCTGCGAGAATCTGAGAGAATCTGGCAGAATCTGAGAGAACTTGATCGAATCTGAAAGAATCGAAGGAATCTGATAAAAGTTGAAAGAATTTGATAGAATCTGATCGAATCTGAAAGAATTTGATAGAATCTGAATGAAACTGGGAGAATCTGGAAGAATCTGATGAAGAATAGATCTGATAAAATATGACAGAATCTGAGATAGTCTGAGAAAATCTGGGAAAATCTGAAAGAGTCTGAAAGAATCTGAATCAGTCTGGTAGAAGATGACAGAACCTGAAATAATCTGAAAGAATCTGATTCAATTTGATAGAATCTGAAAGAATCGGAAAAAATCTGAAAGAATCTGAAAGAACCTGAAAGAATCTGAAAGAATCTGAAAGAATCTCAAAGAATCTCAAAGAATTTCAAAGAATCTGAATCAATCAGATATAATATGACAGAACCTGAAATAATCTGAAAAAATCTTATTCAATTTGATAAAATCTGAAAGAATCTGAAAAAATCTGAAAGAATTTGAAATAATCTGAGAGAAGGTGAACGAATTTGATTGAATCTGCGAGAATCTGAGAGAATCTGAAAGAATCTGGCAGAATCTGAGAGAACTTGATCGAATCTGAAAGAATCGAAGGAATCTGATAAAAGTTGAAAGAATTTGATAGAATCTGATCGAATCTGAAAGAATTTGATAGAATCTGAATGAAACTGGGAGAATCTGGAAGAATCTGTTCGAATCTGAGGGAATCTGAAAGAATCTGGGATAATCTGAAAGAATCTGGGATAATCTGAAAGAGTCTGGGATAATCTGAAAGAATCTGGGATAATCTAAGACAATCTGAAAGACTTCGATAGAATTTGAAATAACCTAAATAAATCTGATAGAATCTGATGAAGAATAGATCTGATAAAATATGACAGAATCTGAGATAGTCTGAGAGAATCTGGGAAAATCTGAAAGAGTCTGAAAGAATCTGAATCAATCTGATAGAAGATGACAGAACCTGAAATAATCTGCAAGAATCTGATTCAGTTTGATAGAATCTGAAAGAATCGGAAAGAATCTGAAAGAATCGGAAAAAATCTGAAAGAATCTGAAAGAACCTGAAAGAATTGGGAAGAACCTGAAAGAATCTGAAAGAATCTCAAAGAATCTGAAAGAATCTCAAAAAATCTGAATCAATCTGATATAATATGACAGAACCTGAAATAATCTGAAAAAATCTTATTCAATTTGATAAAATCTGAAAAAACCTGAAAAAATCTGAGAGAATCTGAAATAATCTGAGAGAAGGTGAACCAATTTGATTGAATCCGCGAGAATCTGAGAGAATCTGAAAGAATCTGGCAGAATCTGAGAGAATTTGATCGAATCTGAAAGAATTGAAGGAATCTGATAAAAGTTGAAAGAATTTGATAGAATCTGATCGAATCTGAAAGAATTTTATAGAATCTGAGAGAATTTGATAGAATCTGATCGAATCTGGGAGAATCTGAAAGAATTTGAAAGAATCTGATATAATCTGAAAGAATCCGACAGAATCCGAGAGAATCTGATAGAATCTGATAAAATCTGAAATAATTTGATATAATCTGGGAGAATTTGATAGAATCTGTTAGAAGCTGAAAGGATCTTAAAGAATCTGAAGGAAACTGAAAAAATCTCAAAGAATCTGGCAGAAACTGAACGAATCTTAAAGAATCTGATAAAATTTGGGAAAATCTGAGAGAATCTGGAAGAATCTGAAAGAATATGAGAGAACCTGAAAATATCTGAAAGAATCTGGTAGAATCTGAAAGATTGGTAGAATCTAAAATAATATGAAATAATCTGATAGAATCTGAGAGAATTTGATAGAATCAATTCTACGATTTCTCATTTTTTCCACTTTCAAATTTTCGATTTTTCAATTTCTCAGTTTTCTTAATCGTTCCATTTTTCAATTTTTCATTGTTTCTATTTTTTTACTTTTCAGTTTCATTTTTTTTGTTGAAAACTGAAAAATTAAAACTCAGAAAATGAAAAAACAAAAATCGAAAAGTGCGTTAAAAAATTCAGTCAAAGAAATACAGGGAGACACAGATGTAGCTATCAGAGAGAGTCGACATAAAAAATTAAACATAATTGATGAGCCTGACGTCATAGTAAATTTCAGTGGATAGACCGAAACTGGGATATATTATTCTTCAAATTAAACCAAACTGAGTTCAAAAATATCTTCGAATTACTGAAAAATCTGTGTCTTATCTTTTATGAAATGTAGCTATTAAAAAAAAAAAATTGAAATTGAAACATTTCGTGTAAAACTAGAAACGTCTAAAGAAAATGAAAAAACAAAGAACGTTCGACATAGATTGCGTAGAACGTTTAAATTCTTGCTCTCTAAATGTTACTTACATCACGTGCTGTAAGTCTAGGTTCCATAACAATATCAAATTTATTTTAAGCCTCTTATTTCCGACACAATTCGTTCGACTTAACCTTAAATTTAGCCCTCATATTGGTCATGCCGTGGAACGTGGACAGGTATGGCGCCATTTTGCCATTTTCTGACATAACCCAGGGTAGTACCAACCCACAAAAAACGCCATAGACTCCAAAAAGGTATTTTTAATTTTATTCGGTTTATAGCACGTAATTAGATCAAGTGAAAATTCAAATCTGTGTTTAAAAGTGTGCACGTCACGTAGCTGGGGCATATACACAAGCTATATGCAAAAATGTAAGTATTTATAATAAAACTGAGCTCATTGTTCAGATGAAATCACACTTAAACGTGTTTCAGAGTCATATTTTTTAATTTCTAGGGCATGACATACACAGTTCACTGTTATCGCCGGTCGTCGGCATCTTCACAGGCGACACCCGCGCCAATATTCTTAAACACGGCGGGCGTAAGTGGGTCGAGAATCCACTAAATAACGAAATTCAAACCTCACAAAAATTCTCTACAATAACACGCTTCCAGCTGCGGTTCGTCAAAATAGAGCGAGATGTCTGTCATCGTTAATATGTTTATTTTTAGGAATTAAAGCGCTACTTTTCGTTCTTTAGCGCAAAAAGCGTTTAAAAGCGACTCGAAAAGTATCAAATATTTTATCTCCTCACACGTGGGCCAAATTCTCAAACAAAGAGCACTCGAAGTGCTTTTGGCATGCCACTCCACCTCCACGATTTAACAGCAAATAGCTCATTTCACACCAGCCATGAATCTAACGATTATCGCGATTTACGAACCGTCAAATCTTCGCAATTTTTGCGTCAAACTCAAAAATACTCACCTCCGACCGGATCGCTCTCATCCACACGAATCATCATCAATCTGAAAAAACAGAACCGTTACTGGTGTTTATAGTACCTCACAAATAGTGACGAAATAAAAAGTAAACAGCGCCAATCATCATTGTTACGGGATTTCGGACTAAAAATACCGGCGACCATCAAGAGCACGAACTTTATATACCCCGAACCTTGGTGATGCCTTCAGACGAAATCGCATCGAAAATAAAGCACATTTTTCAAAGGCGCCGTTTCAGCTGGCAAATCAGGCGGTGATGAAAGAAAAGTTGCGAAAAGCGGGCGAGTTTTCACGGTCGGACACCGAAATCGCACAAGGGGTTTTCACTTACGTGCTTTCTGCAATTTCGTGAATTGCCGGACTAGAGCTTCTTCTTTTCCATTAAGTATCGCAATTGCTGGTAAACACTCGATGTGAATTGAATAGAAATGTGAATTGGAAGACGTCGACAGCGCCTCGACGCCAAAATTAGACCAGACTGGCGAGAAGCATCTGAGAGTCACGTGGGGCATGCCCGCTAATGAAAATATTTCTTTAAAATTAAGTAATACGGAATTGTAACGTGCAGCAGTTTCGCACTGGTGATGACGTCTGGCGCCGGAAGGAATGGCTTTTATCACGGTTTATTGTGTTTTCGTGTTATTGCAATTAAGATGGTTTAGCGGGTTTTTATTGGGTTATGGGGAGCGTCTGGATGGCGGAAATCGATCTACTGGAAAGGGGAATAAAGTTGCCATTAAATTTAGTGGGATTTGATTTGTTTGGGAAACTGGGAATAAATAAATAGGAGTTCTTGTCGGGATTTTACGACGAAAATTATCTCCAAAAATTCTTCATTATTATTATTATTCAAAAAAGGGTAATTTCGAAAAGTGCAAAAGGCAATCAATCAAGGTTTTATTTGTCTTATTTATTTTCCACCTCCAATTATAATTTGCTTCGTAAATAATGCGACTACTCAGCACGCACGTCGTAATTGTTGGTTGCCTATCCACACACATTTAAAATTTCTTCCTATCGAAATGTCATTGCATTTAATTATATCAACAAATTTCAGTTTTTATTTATTTTTACTTAAATATTTTTGCTGTCCAGTAATCAAACGGCTAAAGTCGTCTGAGATTAGAATTAGATTCGGGTTTTATTTTTATTTTCACGTTGTCACAACTGGTTTAAAATTCTAATTAAGAATAAGGCAACCGTCACACGCTTCATTTGTCAGACAAGGTCCACTTTAATTAATTTTATTTTTGATGGCAACTACGACCACTTAAAATTTGAGTCGCCTATTTTTGGAGCGAATATTTCGCTTAATTCACATTTTTTCACGTTATCTTAATAAATATGCGTATGTATATATTTACACAGAGTGATTAAAATGAAAATAAGCTTTCTTTTGATACCGACTTTGATGGGTTTATCGTAATAAATCCACCAGGATTTATCATAAAAAAAAGGTGACTGACTGTTTCATTAGTTAAACATAATTTCTATGGAAACTAACGGGATTTTAATTTTGAAATGGACATACACAGAATTTGTTTTCTTTTAATTTATTGGTAATTTTTTAAAATGTAAAGAGATTCTATTCCTTTTAAAATTTTTCCTTTAAATTCGTTTCATCTTATCGTAATTTTGATTCAGATTTTTTTTACACATTTATAATAGTTATATTGAATTCACATTTGACACTTTCTGTTAAAAAAAAGGTTTGAAAGAATTTGATAGAATCCGAAGGAATCTGAAAGAATTTGAAGGAATCTAAAGGCATCTAAAAGAATCCAAAGGAATGTGATCTAAAAAATTTGAAAGAACTGAAAAGAATAGAATTTTCAAAGATTTTGATGCGATTTGCAATCACCTAAAAAAATCTGAAAGAATTGGAGAGAACAGAATTTGGAAGAATTTAGAATTTAAAATATTCTGACAGAATTTGATAGAATCTGAAGCAATCTGAAACAGTTGAAAAGAGTTTGATGTAATTTGAAAGAATCGGAAAAAATAAGGGAAAGAATAGGATTTAAAACAATCTGAAAGAATTTGAAAGATCTTGAAAGAATCTAAGACAATCTGAAAAAATTTGAAGGAATCTGAAACAATATGGAGGAATTTGACGTAATTTGCAAAAATCTAAAAGAAGCTGAAAGAATTGAAAAGAATAGAATTTGAGAGAATCTGAAAGAATCTGATTAATCTAAAAAATCTGAAAGTATCCGAAAGAATCCAACAGAATTTGAGAGGAATTTGATATAATTTGAAAAAATCTAAAAATCTGAGAGAATTTGAACGAATCTGATAGAATTCGGTGGAATCTGACAGAATCTGAAATGTCTGAAAGAATTTGAAAGAGTTGGAAAGAATCCGATAGAATCTGAGAGAATCCAAGAGAATCCGAGATAATCTGAAAGAATGTGAAGGAATGTGAAATAATTTGATGGAATTTGCAAGAATCTAAAAGGTTTGATAGAATTTGATAAATCTGAGAGACTCTGAAAAAATCTGAGAGAATCTCAAGGAATCTGAAAAATCGGAAGAATAGAATTTAAACAATTCGAAAAAATAACGAAGATAATTTGCGAGCATCAGAAGAAATCTGAAAAATTTGAAGGAATTTGAAGAAAGAATCTATAAAATCTGAAAAAAACTGAAAATAATAGAATTTGAAAGAATCTTGTAAAATTTGATAGTATTTGATAATAGTCTGAAACGTCTGAAAGAATCTGAAAGAATCTGAAAGAATCGGAAAGAATCCGATAGAATCTGAAAGAATCCGAAAGAATATAAGAGAATCTGCGAGAATCTGAACGAATGTGATAGAATCTGAAATAATATAAAGGAATTTGATGTAATTTGCAAGAATAAAATAATCTGAAAGAATTAGAAATAATAGAATTTGAAAGAATCTGAAAGGTTCTGATAAAATTTGGTAGAACCTGAAAGAATATGGGAGGATCTAAGACAGCCTGAAGGAATCTGAAATAATTTGAAAGAATTTTGTGCAATTTGAAAGAATGTAAAGTTATCTTAAATTGAAAACAATATAATTTGAAAGAATGTGATAGAATCTGACAGGAACTGAAAAAATCTGATGGAAACTGAAAGCGTCTTAAGGAATCTGATAGAATTTTGGAAAAATCTGATAGAATTTGAAAGAATCTAAAATAATCTGAAAGAATCTGGAAGAATCTTAATAAATCCTATAGAATCTGATAAAATCCGATAGAATTTGACAGAAACTGAAAGAACCTTAAAGAAATTATAGAATTTGGTAAGATGCGAGAGAATCTGATAGAATCTGAAAGAATTTGATAAAATCTGATGGAATGTGATAGAATCTGATGCAAACTGAAAGCGTCTTAAGGAATCTGATAGAATTTTGGGAAAATCTGATAGAATTTGAGAGAATCTAAAATAATCTGAAAGAATCTGGAAGAATCTTAATAAATCCGATAGAATCTGATAAAATCCGATAGAATTTGATAGAAACTGAAAGAATCTTAAAGAAATTATAGAATTTGATAAGATGCGAGAGAATCTGAAAGAATTTGATAAAATCTGATGGAATGTGATAGAATCTGATGCAAACTGAAAGCGTCTTAAGGAATCTGATAGAATTTGAGAGAATCTAAAATAATCTGAAAGAATCTGGAGGAATCTTAATAAATCCGAATAGAATCTGATAAAATCCGATAGAATTTGATAGAAACTGAAAGAATCTTAAAGAAATTATAGAATTTGGTAAGATGCGAGAGAATCTGAAAGAATCCGATAGAATATGATAGAATCTGAGAGAATTTGATAGAATTTAGGAGACTGAGAGAATCGGAAGGTATCTGAAATAATTTGAAATAAGTTGATAGAGTCTGAGAGAATCTGGAAGAATCTAATAAAATCTGAAATAATTTGATAGAATCTGAGAGAATTTTATAGAATCTGTTAGAAGCTGAAAGAATCGTAAATAATCTGAATGAATCTGATAGAATTTCAGAAAACTGGATAGAATCTGAAAGAATCGGAAAGTATCTGAAACAATATGGAATAATTTGATAGAATCTGATACAAATTCAAGCATCTTAAAGAATCTGATAGAATTTTTTGAAAAGATTCTGAAAGTACCTGATAGAATGTGATAGAATCTGGAATCTGAGAGAATTTGATAGAATTTAGGAGACTCTGAGAGAAGCTGAAAGAATCTAATAAAATCTGAACTAATTTGAAAGAATTTGTTAGAAACTAAAAGAATCTGAATGAATCTGATAGAATTTGACAGCATGTGGAAAAATCTGATAAATTCTGTTAGAAATTGTAGAAAATGAAAGGATTTTAAAGAATCTGATAGAATTTGGGAAAATCTGAGACAATCTGAAAGAATCTGAAAGTGTTTGGAAGAATTTGAAAAAATCTTAAAGAATTTGGGAGACTCTGAGAGAATCTGAAAGTATTTGAAACAATCTGAAACAATTTTTTTGACAGAATCTGATAGAATTTAACAGCAATTGGAAGAAGCTGAATGAATCTGATAGAATCTGAGAGCATCTGAAAGAATCTGATAAAATCTGATAGAATTTGACAGAATCTGATAGAAACTGAAAGAATCTTAAAGAATCTGATAGAATTTGGGAAAATCTGAGACAATCTGAAAGAATCGAAATAATCTGAAAGTATTTGAAACAATCTGAAATAATTTGATAGAATCTGAGAGAATCTGAAAGAATTTAATAAAATCTGAAATAATTTGATAGAATTTGATAGAAACTGAAAGAATTTTAATGAATCTGATAGAATCTGAGAGCAATTGGAAGAATGTGATAAAATCTGATAGAATTTGATAGAAACTGAAAGATTCTTAAAAAATCTGATATAATTTGGAAAATCTGAGACAATCTGGAAGAATCTGACAGAATTAGAAAAAATCTGATTAAATATGATAGAATTTGGGAGGCTCTGAGAGAATTTGAAAGTATTTTAAATAATCTGAAACACTTTTTTGACAGAATCTGAGAGAACTTAACAGAAATTGAAAG